AGCTGTAGGTTTGCTGATATTATCTTCTGTTTTTGGCTGAATGAACTTGCAATCTCTGGGTATATTGACTGCATTTCTATTGAGCATTTTATCTTATTGTTTTCTTTCTAAAGCCTTTTTTTAAAATAATTTTCAAAGCAAATATACTTCCTGGTCTAATTAGCTGAATCTGTTGCTGCCAAACATAGTAGTGGTGTTGTGCGCATAAATTCACCAAGACTGTTATGTTTTATTACTGTATTTACATCTCAGCATGAGGTATTTTGTTACTGTTTTGTTTTAATCATTTACCAGCAGTTCCATTCAAATACATCTTTGATGCTGAAGTTACTATATCCTTAATACCATCTGGATGTTGCTGAATTTACCTTGCAAGAGGAAATTTTGTTCGTGGTCCTATATTGCCAATATCCAATCAATCTTTGTAATCTTTTTTTAATGGAAAATTTCCTTTCCATTTTCTAACTGAAATTGAGAGTTGTCTACTCATTCACATCTACCAGCAGCATTCCTGAAATAGGAGGATGGTGGTTGATGTGCTAGTACTGGTAGCATTTTGTACTTCCCTTAGAGATTTTATTAAGATTTACTGATTGGGAAATAAATGCTTAATAAAGATTTATTATTGAAGTGTTATTTTGAGAAATCTTTCACAAAAGATAAAATTTACCTTTAGTTACTGTTTCTTAAATCTAATCTTCTAGCATATAGTAAAACAAAGTTTAGCTGAAAACTGGCTTGCAGCCATATGAAAAATCAGTAATGTACACATTTTTGCCTGATATTCACCATACTATGATATGGAACCATTTGCTTATATATATACACCCAGGACCTATTAGGCAAGTCACAGAAGTCTCACTCGTCTCATACTAAACTATATCTCAGCTGAGATCTAATACTCTGTTCCATAAGGTGTTGAGATTTAGGTGTGGTATGATGCAAAGATTCTTTAGTAATAATGAAATACAGTAACTAGTAGTTATGGTCTTAAACAAATGCATCTAAAATAAACTGGTACATTAGTGTAGACGCTCCGTGTTAGAAATAGCACCAATGTTCCATAAACATTCTTTGTACTTAGACAATATATTAAGCCAAATGGAATTCAGAAGGGTGGCAAAAAGTAGCTCACACTTATACACAAATAATTATTTTGCCATATTCTGCCCTGACTACTTATATGTACATCTGTGCCTTTGACAGGGGAATAATCCAGGGTAGAATTTGTTCCTCTGAGTAAAGCTAAAGTAATGAACAATTTAAGTATAAAACAACAAGTGTAAATTTTTACTAAACTACATGCTTGCTATATGTTCAACAATAAGACTGCAGCAAACGTCATTGTTTAGTAAATACTTTCCCTTTCTTTAAGAAGGATGTTCCATCCTAACTTAGGATACAAAAAACTTTTATAACAATATCTACTCCCTGTTTTACTCTGAATGGTGGTTAGCTTTAAAACATCTAGGTTATTGTTCATGGATATCTGAGGTAGTGCCACAAAATACAAGTTATGAATACAGGGATTTCTGTTGTGTGGGGGGGGGGTGACTGATGGAGAAAAATTATTTTAATGGTGGCCAATCTATACGATATAAAAGATTTGTAAAGGGCTGTATTCTCCATTTTTTTAATACTTCATTTTTGTGCTTTCAAGTAAAAGGAAGAGATTTGTTTAAGGTATTTCTTAATTCAGGCAGCTGAGAAATGGTAGAAAAGGGGAGGAGTAGGCCTCAGGCTATTCAAGTATTTTTGTGGGAAAGCAAGTACAAAGAAATAATGAAAAGCTCATTCACTTTTACAGTGAAGGGAAGTACAGGAGCTTTCGAAAAAGCGTTTTTTTATAAAGAACTGTGTCTAGACAGCAGTTTCATTTTTTAAATCCCCTTTTTCGAAAACAGGCGGCCGCCATTATGCAAATGAAATGCTGGAAATTCAAATCCCGGCTTCATTTGCAATTTCAATCTGTCTAATTTACATCCCTCTTTTGAAAGAGGGATATAGTTCAGACATAGCCTAAGAACTGTGTTACCTGGTGGGAGCTAAAGACATCACAGAAAGCAGCTGGCAGGGCTGCTTGCCAAGAACAGTGTGAACAACTGGTTGAGATGAGGAGCAGTGACCTTCTTATCCCCTCTTCACTTAGGGTTGAAGTGAATTTTGCAGATGATCGTGTGAACTCTGTGACTGACTAAGGGTAACAAGTGTGAGGGGTGTGTGGAGAATGGAGGGGCATGCCAAAGGAACTCTTGATTGTTGAACTCTAAAACCTAAAGGAAAAGGACACTACCCAAAGTATTCTGGGGTGGGGGTTTTGCTCATAGTTTTATGGTAATTAATCCTGCTTTTGTAGTATCTTTTCCAAATTAATGTTGTTTTACTTCTCTCCTTTTAATAAAATTTTCTTTTCTACACTTAAACTCTATGCTAGTGAGAGGGAAGTATTGCCCCTTGGGGCACCAATACAGTGTTATAGAATTGTCCCAGGTGGGGCATAAACTGGTTTTGAGTTGGGGGGGGGGGGAAAACCCCTAGATATTGAACCCAGCCTTTGTTGCTGCCAGCACCACTTGTTGCTAATGAGCAAAAGGAGTACATACAAAGTGTGACAGTAGTTGAGCCTGAAGGTGACAAACTCACAGATCACACTCTACAGTTAGATTTGTGAAATCTTGGAAGTAAGGTCATTATAGAATAAAATACCTACTATGCATTTGGTTAAAAAAATATGAAAATGATTGAGGCAAAAGGTAGCTTTTTCCTTTAAAATGCTTTTTTTCCTGATCATGGATTCTAAATTAATTTTATATCTGAGAAAATAACCAAGTCAAAAGGTTATTTTTAGCAAATATCCTCAAACCAGCTTTTGCAATCACTCTCCTTTCAGCTTCAATTCACTGCCACCACTGCTTCAGATTGAATTAAGTTGAGCACATCTAACAAAACAGGTGGTAGCCTGGCAATTTTCCTTAATCTTCTTTGTTGGCATAACTCTTTACCAGCTGAGCACAATGACCCAGAGTTAAATTGACATGAGATCTAAAAACAGATGTAATTATTCACTTACTCCCAGAGCCAGACAAACAGACATGGTGGAAGAGGAGTGAGAGGAGGACTGAGTTCTCCCCTCAAAATATTGCCTGTATTTTAGAAGGTTTTAGATACATTACTTTATCTGGTATTCTTTAATATTTGAGGAATAGATTTGTAAATTGCAAACTGTTCTTTTAAAATACCAACATGGATCACAAATACTCTCTGAATCCCAGTACATGCTCACAAAGAACTAAATGGATACTCAGCATTGTGACATCCCTCCCCGCATGTTTTATGAGTTTGGCTTATGAATATGCATTACTCGAAGGTGCTTCATGCAAAATGGTCATGTGGCATATCACTCTTTTAGTTACAATCTGCTGAATGCGTATGTCCTATTTTGGTGCATGAATCATTCTTGTGTGTGAAGTTAGAAATATGAAGTGTGGATCTGTTTATGGTTCTAAATGTGTTAATGAGCTGGTACCCCAGAAACTTAATGATTCTGTGATCAAATCCACTACTTGTGAATAGTTTTATTTGTCCTGTAAGCCCAAACGGTGGTTGGTCCCAGGAAAACATGTGTCCATGCCATGTGGTACTGGAATCCAGGTATTTTTTCATGGGGATGGGGTATGCTGAGCAAAGGGTTTCTGCCCTGGAGAAGCTGTAGGCCTAAGTCAGGGTATAAGATCAACTCTAATCTGACTTGCAACCACTTAAATCTTGCTTTTTGTACTCAATAAACAAAAGTGTTTTTATCTGTCATGGATAAAGTGAGCTAACAAATTTACACAGGGTAAGACACATTTGTCTGCAGTTTTGGTTCCATTTGGGGGTTGGTTGGCTGGGTACTTGAGCCCTTGGAACTGAACTGGTTCAGTGCCTGTGCTGCTCTTCAGGGGACAACAACCCCAACACTGTGCCTTATCTGAGGGAGACCAGGGATTTGGTCCAGTGGGACAGAGTGAAGAGGAGCCCAAAGAGCAGGAAAGTGGGAATCAGTGGTGTGATCAGCATTCTATCAGGACAACCCAACAAGATACCTGGTTTTGCTCTTTTGTCATGTCACCTGTGAACATTCTGCACACACAGACAATGGAAGACCTTTTGAAAACTTTGGACAAAATCATGTAGGACAGAGTTTCTCAGCAACTGGCCTGTGAACTGATACCAGTCCCTGAGATCGCCCTGACACAGTTTAGGAAGGTGGAAAACTGACCCTGGTACAAAACAGTTGAAAAACACTGATCTAGGATAGCTAGTAACAGAGTGAAATAGTGTACAAGTTTTCTACTTCTTCCCATCATACCTCGGGATATAAATGAGAAGTTTTTACCTTAGTAGAAACACATCCAGCTGACAGTTTCTGCAATTTAAACAAAAGTAGGACAGGAGCACATAAGGGTGTTTCAGGCTAGAACTGAGATACATTGACTGAGCAATTTGCACCTACTCACAATATGCCTGGTACTAGTTATGCTTTTAGGCTTTCCCTTTCAAAACTAAATTCAAATTCCATTTCCTATCATCCATTTTGATGATGATTGGCAGAATGCTATCCTGTTTAAAAAAAAAAAATAAAATAAAATAAACACCAAAATAATCTTCTCTGTCCTTTGATCACCTTTCGGTGTTTATAGAAACCTGCTTTTCTGTGCTAACTAATTTAATCAAGAAAAAGTTGCTTGTGTTCTTATTGGATCTTCATTTTAAATTGTGATCATACGGTTCATGAGATTATTCTGGGAGTCACACAAATGACTGCCTGACATGCGATAGGGCTTTATTTGCATTCTAAGTTTTCAGCCTAGTATTATTGGTTGGCCAATCTTAAGTCAAGGAACACAAGCGTGTAACCATACTGAACCCAATGCTGTTTGAATATCAATAAGTTGCAGAAGCAGCCAAATCAAGAAGAGTGCAAAAGAGGAGATAAAGTGCAATCATCGGGGGCCACACCTCCATCTACTAACTGCTCCTGCACTTTGAAGGCTCCAGGGATGACCCCATGCATGCTCAGGTGAGCCTTATTTTTCCCCATATACCCCCAATAAGTAGCCTGGGATTTGGGGTAGAACTGCAGAAAGGAACTAGTCAGAGTGGGGATCTTCAGGGAGCTCTCCACAGTTTTAACCAGACTTTACTGACATATGTTGATTGGCTCTTTGCTAAGGTTCCATCCCCTGTGGAAGTTCCTCTGGAAACCTGCTCACTACCCACTCTCTTTTCTTCCTGTTTAACTTATCGTCTATTGCTAACTCCCAGCCAACATGGCTTTTGCACGTTGTTCGCTCTGCTTGTGTGGTATAGCCCTTTTACCATTCTCTGTCCATTTTGTCTATGTAGCCTGTAAGCCCTTCAGTGCAGGGGCAGTCTCCTATTAAGTATATTTACAGTATTTTGCACAACAGGTCTCATTTTTGGATGTTCCTTTAGTACTACCATCTAAGTATACTGGATTTTACAATTTACTTTATAATTAGAGGATAATGGTGAGTGTCTCTTGCTCATACAGGTATAGTACCTAGAACAGTTTGAATTTGGTAAGCTCTCTTCTGAAAGACCCCAAAGAGTTCTTGATGAAAATTTAACAACTGTGAGGCGGACACACATCATTTCTTAAATAAGTGGATTTTCCCCATGACCGCTAATGCTTCTACATATTTTGGTTAGTCTCTAAGGTGCCACAGGACCACTCATTGGTTTTTAAGTTTACAGACTAACATGGCTACCCCTCTGAGTATCTTTACTAGTGGTGATCTTGGATTTCCATCCGCCCTGAAAAGTCATATACCGCTATAATAGAATTTTACTATTTCAGTAACATAGCTCATTTCAGGACTATGCTATTTGAAGGTAAAACTGAAATATTAATTTTTCACTGCCTTCAAAGTCGAACACAGATTGGACCTGACTGATCCCAGGTGAGGGATTTTTCTAGATCAGGGAGGTCATTTCTGGA